TTCTTAATTGCCCAAAATGTCCGGGATTCGGCTGTTTTCTTAATCCCACTCCCGCTAAATCTCTGACCACTGCCGCCTGCTCCCGCAACATTACGCTCCAGCGATTTTCGTGTCCACTCCTTTAAACATACTAATATTGTATATAATTTTGGCGCATCAGGGAGCCGTTCTCAGAATGGGTGTATTTAAATATTTTTGAATGAGCGTTTGCACTGTTTACTTTCACTTTCGATTTCGCAATCACACGCACTCTGTGTAAAGGGAGCACATCTTACAAGATCAGATATTTGTCAATGTGCTCAGCATCTGTTGAGCAGCAAATACTCCAGCATGGTCTTGTCAGTCATCTCTCCTTATTCTCGACGGAGATCTCGACTCCCGTAGCTCTTGTTGCCAAGTCCACGTTTTTTCCACAGAATTGGGGTACTTTTAAACTGTTGCCATGGGTTGATTTTCCCAAGTGGGTTAAAGGTTTGAAATATTGCATAAATTACATTTGACTGAAATGCTTGTATTGAAACATTTTGCATTCTACCTATGATAAAACTTTCATGGACTTCTACATGAACTGTTTCCTCCTGGTGGAATGACCGGCCCAGCTCAATCCAAGCAGGTGAGTCCATAACATTTCCAAGAAACGGCTGAAAACATCTTTTTCATCTTCATTTGACCCTCTAACTCTAGTACTCTCTATTCTAATGCTACTTCTAATTTTATCTGCTTGTTTTTTTTTTTTTTATTAAAAAACTTGACCCTCTAACGTTTGCATTCTTTATTCTATTTCTATTCTAACTACTTGTTTTATTTATAAAGAAAAAAGAGCCTCTAACACTAGCATTCTCTATTCTTTCCACTTATTTTCTTTTTATTTATTATAAATAATGACATTATAACACTTGCATTATCTATTCTTTTTCTGTTCTATTGACATTTAAAAATGACCCTCTAACACTAGCATTCCCTATTCTTTTTCTATTCTTTCTACTTGTTTTCTTTTTATT